CTGGGGGAGTATTAACGGGTTTGCTTTAGACTCGGTGGAGTTGGGTCAGGAGAGGGAGGAGGAGGGGGAGGGAGATGGAGAGGGTGGAAGAGGGGAGGAAGAGGGTGGGAAAAGGGAGGGGAGGGAGAGGGTGGGAATAAAGGGAGGGGTGAGAGAGGGTGTAAAGATAGGGAGAGGAGGGAGAAGGTGTAAAGAGGGGGAGGGTGTAAGGAGGGGAGGGAGAGGGTGTAAGGAGGGGAAGGGAGGGAGGGAGTTGTGTAATGAGAGGGAGGGCGAGGGATATGGTGTAAAATGGAGGGGGAGAGAGATGGAGAAGGCGTAAGGAGGGGAGGGGAGGGAGATCGAGAGGGTGTAGGAGGAGGAGGGGAGGGAGATGGTGTGAGGAGTGGGAGGAGAGGGAGAAGGTGTAACGAGAGGGAGGAGGGAGGGTTGTAACGAGAGGGAGGAGGGAGGGTGTAAGGAGGGCGAGGGGAGGGAGAGGGTGTAAAGAGAGGAAGGGACGGAGGGTGTAAGAAGGGGGAGAGTGTAAGGAGGGAGGAAGCATGTAAGGAGAGGTAGGGAGGGGGTTTGTGTGTATTTAAATACCGTTTTATTTGATGGGCGTGAAAGGGTTAAAAGTAAGGGGTGAGTGTCTGTGTGTGTATCTGTGTGTGTGTGAATTTGTGTCTATATATGTGTATGTATTCCAGGCAGAAAAAAAAGAGAAGGAAAATGTTAAAATGGAGAAAAGAGAAAATACTAGAACACACAAAAAACTATTTTTCTTTCTTTTCTTTCTTTATTCTTCTCCATCTTGCAACATGACGAATATGCAAGATAAAACGAAATGTCAGCATCTTGACTTACACCCCAGAAGTTTTATAACAATTGGTTTAATTTTGACTTCTTATTTTGCACTTCGAAAAAGCAACCCAATATAATTTGACCAAAATAATAATACAATACTCAAGTGATCTACATGTTTTGTCACTAAATAGTACAATATCTTCCTATTATGTATTAAATATGTTTTATATTTTTCGTCTTTCGAATGGGCGAAGAAGCGAATAACTTTGATGTAAATTTTTATCTTTTATCTTTATCTTTTTATCTATCTCTATCTCGTTTATTTTGCCTGTTCTTCTTTTCTCTTATATTTCTATTTTGTCATTGAATCGAAGAAATATTGATACACTAACAATAATAGATTATCTGGTCCTTCCTAATTCTCATCTCTATTCCTCTTGTTCCCTCTCTCTTTCATTTTCTCCATCTCCTTACCTCTCTCCTTCTTTCCTCTATTCTCCTCTATTCTCCTTTCCTCTACTTCTTTTTCGCGTCTATCTCGTCCTCTCTTCTCAATTTTTCTCCTCTTTTGTTCTCTCCATCCCTTCTCTCATCTTCTCTCCACTCTCTCCACCCCTGTCTCTCCTCCTCTCTTTCCTTGTATTCTATTCTCTCCTCTTCTCGCTTCGCCTCTCCTCCATTTCATTTCTCCACTCTTGTCTTATGTCTTCTCTCCTCTTCTCTTTTCACTTTTTTTTCTTCGTCTCTCTTCCTCTTTTATCATCACTTATTTTTTTCTCTTCTTCATTTCCTATTCCCTTCCTCTCCTCTTCTCGTTTCCCTTTCCTCTCCTATCCGCATCTTTCCTTCCCTCTCCTCCTCTCCTATCCAATCCTATCCTTGTCTCTCCTCTCCTCCCTCTTTTTCTCTCCTTTTCTCTCCTATTCTCATCTCAGTTTCCATCCCCTTCCTCACTCTCTCTTCCTACCCTATCCTCATCTCTCCTTTCCTCACCTATCCTCATCCATCCTCATAATTCCTTTCTCTCTCATCTCGCATTCCTTTCCTCTTTCTCCTCTCCTATCTTCATCTCTCCTTTTCCTCACTTATCATCATCTCTCCTTCTTTTCTCCCTCTTCTACTCTCCTCATTCCTTTCTTCCCTCTCCTCTTTCCCTATCCGCATCTCTCCTTCCCCTCTTCTCCTTTCCTCATTCCCCTTTCCCTCTCCTCTTTCATCCTCCTCTCCCATCTCCCTCTTCCTCCTCTTTTCCTCTCCCTCTTCTCCTCCTCTCCTCTTCTCCTCTCCTCTCCTTCCCTCTTCTCCTCTTTTCCTCTCCTCCTTCCTTTTCTTTTTCCTCTCCCTCTCCTCCTCTTTTCCTCTCCCTCTTCTCCTCTTTCCCTCTCCCTCTTCTCCTCTTTTCCTCCCCCTCCTTCCTTCCTTTTCCTCTCCCTCTTCTCCTCTTTTCCTCTCCCTCTTCTCCTCTTTTCCTCTCCCTCTTCTCCTCTTTTCCTCTCCCTTCTCTCCTCTTTCCTCTCCCTCTTTCTCCTCTTTTCCTCCCCTCTTCTCCTTTTTCCTCTCCCTCCTCTTTCCTCTCTCCTCTTCTCCTCTTTTCCTCTCCCTCTTCTCCTCTTTTCCTCTCCCTCTTCTCCTCTTTTCCTCCCTCTCCTTCCTTCCTCCCTCTCCTCTCTCCTCTCCTCTCCTCTTCTCCTCTTTTCCTCTCCCCTTTCTCCTCTTTTCCTCTCCTCTTCCTCCTCCTCTCTCCTTCCTTTTCCTCTCCCTCTTCTCCTCTTTTCCTCTCCCTCTTCTCCCTCTTTTCCTCTCCCTCTTCCCCTCTTCTCCTCTTTTCCTCTCTCTCCTTCCCTCCTTTTCCTCTCCCTCTTCTCTCTAGCTTTACGACAAAGAGACACATTATGCTGCCTAGAGGAGAAGCTCCGTGTCTCTAATTATTCGAGACAATTGGTGCGCGAGAGAGAGAGAAAGGAGGGGGGAAGGAAAGAGGGAAGTGGGAAAGAGAAGGAGAGGGAGAAGAGGTGGAGAAGAGAAGGAGAGGGAGTGGAGGTGTGGAAGGAAATGGGAGAGAAGGAGAGGAAGAGGAGGTGGAGAAGAAAGGGGGTGAAAGGGGGAATTGGCGAGAGAGGGAAGGAAAGGGGGGAGTGGGGGAGAGAAGGAGAGGAAGAGGAGGGATAAGGTGGAGGAGGGAAGGAATGGGGGGAGTGGGGGAGAGAAGGAGAGGGAGAGGAGGTGGGGAAGAAAGGGGGAATTGGCGAGAGAGGGAGAGGGTGGAGGAGGGAAGGAAAGCGGGGAGTGGGGGAGAGAAGGAGAGGGAGAGGAGGTGGGGAAGGAGGGGGAGAAAGGGGGAATTGGCGAGAGAGAGAAAGGGTGGACGAGGGAAGGAAATGGGGGAGTGGGGAAGAGAAGGAAGGAGAGAGGAGGTAGGAACTAACGGAGAGAAAACAGCGGCGAAGAAATGAGGAAAGATGGAGAGGTAGGAGGAGAAGAAAGGAAAGAGGAGGTGGGGAAGGATGGGGAAGAGATGCAGGAAGAAAGGGGAATTAGCGAGAAGAAGGAGGATTGAGTAAGGATAAGAAGAGGTAGGAGAAGAGAAGAAAGGAAAGGGAATTGGGGAAATACGGGGGAAGAGAAAGCGAAGAAAGGGTGGAATGGGCGAACGGAGGAGGGGCGGCGAAGGGGAGACAGGGAGATGAGTGAGATGGAGGGAAAGGGAAGAAAGAAATGACGAGAGGAGAGATGGTGTGACGAGAGGGAGATAGCGAGGGAAGGGACAGGGGGAGAGGGAAAGCGAAAGAGGGAATAGGAGGATGGGAAAAAGATGGAAGGTAAAGGAGGGGAAAAAAGGTGGGAAAAGAGAATAGAAGAGGGGAGTTGGGGAGGAACTGGGAAATAGATGGAGGGGGATGTGAGGGAGAAGGAGCGAGAGGGAGAAGAAGGAAAGAGAAGGAAAGGAAGCAAAAGATAGATGGACGATAACTGGAGAGAGTTACTAGGAGAAAGAACAAGCGAGAGGAGAAAGAGAAAGGGAGAAAGAGAGAGGAAATAAAGATGACGAGAAGAGAGATAACGAAAGAAGATGGGGAGTAGGTAAAATGGAGAGGAAAAAGGAGACCACGGAAAGAGAGGGAAAGAAAAAAATACTGGGCAAGGCGATGGGCGCAGAACAAGAAGAGATATGATAGAGTTGAGGGAAGGAGAAAGGGAAAGGGAAGAGAGGAAAGGGTGGGAAGGAGAGAGCCAATAAGGAAAAATGTAATGATGCTAATAAACATGGCAATGACAGTCATCATCATAATGAGGATGGCTGTCATAATCATTGCCAACAAAAACAATAAAGGCATAATAGTATAAACAATTAAAATGATGATAAGGGCGGTAATGATGATGCTAATTAGCTGATAGCAGTTATTAAATCAATCACAAAACAATAATGATGCTAATAACAACAGGGAAAGGTATAATGATGAAAATAACATCTGTAATATACACCCTACCAGTAATTATGATGGTAAAATAATGATAATTAGGACGAGGATAAAGGATTGTAATACCACTAATAACAATAATGATAATAATAATGACAAATTGATGATGATAATGATAATACTTATGATCATTGCTGTAATGATAATAATCCTATCAAAATTGATACTGACTATAATGATAATGATAATTACAAAAATAATGATTATTACAATATTAGTGATGAAAATTATAATAATCGGCATAACACCATTACTGCTATGAGTAATAATAATAATAATGCTAATAATAATAATAATAATTACAATAATCATAATGATAATATCAATAACAATATCAATAACAATAACAATAATAATCATGATTATAATAATAACACTTATAATGATCATAATTATGATAATAACATTTGTTATAATAATGATATAAATAATGATTACAATAACAGTAGTAATAATAGCACCAACAGTACTGATAACAATAATAATGAAATAATAGTAGTAATGGTAATAACACTAATAATGATAATAATGATCCTAATAATGATGATAATAGTAATGACAATAACATTGACAATAAAACAGTACCGATGACGATGATAGGAATGATAATATTGATAATGATGATGATCTATCATAAAATAGTAAATAACAATCATTTATTTTTCCATATTAATACCAAATTAGATAAGATAAAATAGATCCCATAACGCAAAATATTCACCGACTGCCCAAGGA